AGGGGGTCTGCTCAACAGTGCTGGGGCACAGGGACAGGGACCCCGGCGTGGAGGGAGAGCATCCTGCCCGGGGTTACCGGGAGCGCCAGGCTCCCAGGAAGCTCCTGCCAATCCCCAGTCAAAGGCGGAACTCTCACCTCCAAAGTTGCTGAAGTCAAGGTCGGGCTGCAGCCCGGTGACCAGGGTGTAGACGTCAGGGTTGTGGAACTTCAGGCTCTCCAGGAAGGCGATGGCCCCGTTCTTCCCTCGCGTCTTCAGCAGATCGAGCAGGTGTCCTGGGGAGAGAGAACCGTCTTCTAGCTACCAAGCTGGCTTCCCACAGGGCTGGGGGTCGGACACCCCCGCGCGTCTAGGGATCAGGAGGTGAGAGCAGTTTTCTGGGATCTGTGGGGTGGGGCCTGCTCGCGCAGGTTCCCTTAACTCGCGTGGCCTCACCCAGACTTGAGAAAGGCAAGCTTGGGACCTGAGCCCCGTGCTCTGCCAGGAGCTGGGGCTGCGGGAAGAGGAAGAGGAGCCCTGCTCGCGAGCACCTCCCAGGCAAGCTGGGGGACGGTGCGGAGGCACAGTCCCACGCAGGGCTCCCACGGCTGTGTGTGGACGAAGCGTCGCCGGAGGAAAGGAGCCAACAGCAGCGCCCCAGGGTCCGGGGGATGCGTCCAGGGGGCCTTCCTCTCCCAGGGCCCAGACCCCATCGCTCTGAGCTGGAATTACCAGTTTGGATTAATCTCTCCTGCATTTGAGGATCATAAGGCCAGTATGCACAGACTTGACGTTAACAGCTAACACTGCCTGCTGTCTAGGGCCCAGACTTTGCCAGGGGTGTGTTATAAACGGTAACTCATTTAACCCTCCTAACAACCTTACATGGTAAAGCCATTAGCACCCCCGTTTTTGAATGAACAAACACAGCTAGTCGGACCATCAGAACTGATTCCGGAGACAGCTGTAGTGGTTTAAGGGTGGGCCCCCAAAAGACATGTCTACCCAGAACCTGTCCACGGGCCCTCCTTTGGGGAAGGGTCTTTGCAGAGGTAATTAAGTTCTAGCTCTTGAGATAAGAGGTAAGATCATCGTGAACATCCGGCGTTCCCTAAATGCAATGACAAGTGCTCGCACGAGAGACAGAAGACACGGAGGAGACCCAGATGAAGACAGAGGCAGAGGTGGGAATGACGCTGCCCCAGCCAAGGAGCCTGGGGCCCCCCGGAGCTGGAAGAGCAGGAAGGATCCTCCCTTAGAGCCTTGGAGGGAGCTCGGCCCTGCTGACACCTGGGTTTCCAACTCCCGGCACCCGGAACGGCAAGAAAACACATTTCTCTTGTTTTAAGTCCCCAGTTGTGGTAGCCTGTTAGGGCCACCCTAGGAACTTATACAGGGTCCCCAACGTCCGGAACTCCGGTCCCCGTAGTGCTGTTCCTTGACATCCGTGCTCCCTACCCCCGGTGGCGGCGCTCACCCACTCTCATGGCGCTGTTGGTGAGCTGGGCGCTGTGCAGCACCTCCTCCTCGTCCAGCTGGCCCAGCACGCGCGCCTGGCGCAGGTAGGGCGTGAGGCGGCTGGGGCACACGCTCCGCACGATCTTGTAGCGGTGGCTCTCCATCATCTCCCATAGCGTCTCCTCGTCCAGGGCCGTCAGCGTGGAGTCCCTGCGGCCCAGTTCCGCCATCACAGCACGGGGGGGCCCCTGGACAGGGGGGGCAATGGGGTGGGATCGATGAGACAGCTTCTGGGGCCAGCGAGGACTTTCCGCGCACACGCCCTGCCCCACGTTGCTGGGAGAGAAGGAAACGACCGACTCGGTCAGCGCGACGAACGCCCCATAACCCGCACCCACTTCCCACGCGCCCCCGGCCCTGGTGTCGCGCAGCCGGCGGGGTCAGGGTGGGGGAACAGCCATCCTTAGGGTCCATGCCGGATCAATTCTCCCTGAGCAGAGCCAGAGGAAACGGGCCGGTTTGGGCAGACTGGGTTTGCCTTTAAAACACAGGAAGCTACTCCTGGTGCAGGGAACTGATTCACCGGTGACAGTGACATTAAAACCCAGCCCGGCTCTCTCACGGGTCTCGAACCTGCATTCTCAACAGGGGTGCTAGACCCTTTCCCGGGGAGCGAAAATTCTTATCCTTCTATGTGTAAAGCACAGATACACATAAACAGATACACGGTATAAGTGATATTAATATTTCACGGGAGGGCAATTAGGAAAAAGATTCCTAAAAAGGCTCCTTGCGCGGTGATGATGAGAAAAGGTTGAGAAATAGCCCTAGAACAAACCTGAGGGTTTGGATGCTGGGGCTGCCAATCCTGCAGTCAGGTGGGACGCAGGGCCATGGCCCACATGGAAGGGGCGGTGGAGTCAGGTGGGACGCAGGGCCAGCCCACGTGCCTGGGATCGGTGCTTGCATGGGAAACACACTGTTTGCACTCGGTGTGAGGCCACCTATCATTTTTTTAGCACGGAGGTGACGCGTGGGTCCTGCTTTCTGTTGGGAAGCCTAAGTGGGCAGACATTCCCTCTCCTTTTTTTGTGTGGCTGTCACACTAAGTACATCCGGGACTCCGAATCCTGGCTGTAGGGGCAGGGGAGAGGGCTCAGGGCGGCCCTGGGGTGTGTGAGAGGAATTTCTCCTTGGGTGACAATTCCTAATAAGGAGGCTACAGCGGGTTGAATAGTTGCCACCCCAAACTCACATCCACCCAGAACTTCACAATGTGACCTTAGTTGGAAAGGGGTCTTTGCAGGCGCACGCAGCAATGCTGAGATCACCCTGAATCCAATGGCTGGTGTCCTTGTAAGAGGAGAGGACGCATCACACACAGGGAAGGAGGCAGAGAGTGACACAGCTCAAGTCAGGGGGCGCCTGGGCCCCCCCGAGCTGGAAGAGGCCAGGAAGGCTCCTCCCTGGACACTTTGATGTGGGTTTTGGCTTCCAGAAACATGAGAGAATAAACTTCTGTTGTTTTAAGCCACCCTGCGTGTGGCCCTTCGGACACTGACCCAGAGGACACACAGGGAAGTGTGTCAGGGAGCGACACTTGGCAAAAGCGTATTCTAGAACAAGACAAACTGAAGAACGAAGGACACTTCAGCACAGTCAAGGCCGGGACAGCTCGGCTGGGGGGTGTGGGGGTTTAGGAGGGTAGAGAGACGGCAAATGGCAGGACAGCCCAGGGCAGACCGACCCGCTGGTGTCACAAGCCCCGGGTCTGTCTGGACAAAGCGCATGAAGCAACTCGTGTAAAAAACCCTGCAAAGGATACGTCGAATATCCACGTATCTACCATTCAACCATGGCTGCACATTCAAGCATCCTAACACTCCGCTCTTCAGGTTTCTTTTCAAGGAAATGCATCCTTAAAGAGACAGCTGATGCCTTTTGTTCTCTCTGGTCCCTTTCCCCTCCCTCTCTGCCCAGAGGTCGGTGCTGGGAATATTTCAAAAATCATTTCCTACATACGGAAGAGTCTACAAACCATGTATAGTATTTTTGCATGATCCCTTACGCCAGACAGTAACTTTATATCCATAGTGTCGTCACAGGTAACTCTACTTTTAGGCAAACGGTATTGCTCTGTGCAGGGCACTACACTCTACGTGTTTTTGA